TGAAGATAGCTCCCATCAACACTCTGTCATGGTTTTGGCATGGGTAACACCAAGATGGAGGTTGCTTCCAGTAGCGGCAGGTATCGACCACCCTGTTATTTCTCCAGAAAGTTCTCACAGACCCACAGAAACTACAGCACTATTGTTGTTGATGCTCTGTCTGACATTTATGAGTGCCATCAACTTCATGACGATGAGTGTTACATCCTGTTTTATTTGAGTGTTTCCTGTTTCCCTCGCCTACTTGATAAGATGATTGGCTACAGAACGTTCTGGCTCATGGGCTGTTCTGATATCAGTTTATCTTTTGTTTGCTTGTTTGTTTGTTTCCATCCTGCTGCTGCAGAGGGTTTGAAGTGCATTGCATATCATTTTCAGTTAGTGGCTCATTTACGGTAAAATTAATCTTGGTACATTAAACTTTCAGTCTGGTGTTGTGTCCAGTTGTTTGCTGACCTGCAAAAAACTCAGAAAGAACCAAACTCACAGCTGTGTTGTTAATGATTTAGGTACAGTGAAGCCATCACATCATCTCAGTGGGTGTAGTTTGATGTCATTTAGCCACAAAGTTTATTTCTAACAACATGTTAGAAATAAACTTTGTGGCTAAATGACATCATTTAGCCACATCATGTAACAGAAGCTCAGACACCCCAGCACCTCCACCACCTCCAGCTCTCTTCCTCTCAGCTGACCTGCTGTCAGTAACAGTAACAGTCTTTATATTTAAGATTTGACACCTTCAAAGAAACTCCTCCATCTTTCTGATGAAGCATCAACTTTATGTTCACATGGAGGAAACATCTCTGCTTTTGCTGCTCTGTAAGTTCAGTCTGTGTGAAGATTCAGCTGAGGAAATCTAACAAAAAACCCTCAAAAAAACAGTCTGTAGTTTGTTTTTAGTGATGTTTGTCTGTAAGATGAATCTTCTGTACATGTTTCAGCTGAACAATCTTCCTCCTTTCTGCTCCGATTCTTAGCAAACAGAGATGTTGCGTCTGCTCTGCTCTCTGATCACTTCATTAAACACCACAAACTCTAAACTAACCCGAGTCTTGTTTCTCTTTAATTCTGATCTCACTGCTGAGCTGCAACAAAAACTAAGGTCAGTAACCTCCTTTACTCAGTCTGAAACTCCCTGATTGTGTCTGCTAAACTCAGGCTACATCCACATGTATAGAGGTATTTATGAAAAAAAAAATCCCACACACATGTGCAAAGATGTCTCCGTCCACATGTAAACGCTAAAAACCCAGTCAAATGCTGTCATTTAACCGTGTAGAAATGTTGGCCAATTAGAAGTCTAGAAGCATGGGAGGTAAAGAGTAAACAGGGTTCTTAAGTACTCCGGAAAAGTTTTTGTATTTTTCTGGAAAGGCAGCT